TGCACCGGCGCTTCGTTCAGGGCTGCTCTGCCAAGGGGTGACAAGTTCCACTTAGTGCCCGCGTTCCTGACCGCACGCCCCGGGTGCGGGCACAGGCTGTGGCTTTGCCTCAATCCGCCCCGCGGCCCTGTGCACCGGGAGGGTCGGATTCATGCTTGGGCTGAGCTTGGCCCGTTGTAGTGCATGGGGCTGCAAGCGAGACGGCTCGGGGCAGGCCGGGCCAAGGAAACGTGCTGTCAAAGTCAGAAGCGGCACCCTGGTACCGCAGGACCCTCAGCCTGAGCTGCTCCTGCCCTTCAGTTCTGGTGTGGCTATCCGGAGTAAGGCATGCTTTGAACTTAATCCGAAACCCATCAGATACCAGTGCTGGTGGGCAGTCCCAGGAGAAAGGCTGGAGTAGTGTTTGCCCAGCACCACAGACCAAGCAGCCCCAGCAGATGGGAATGGAAGTACTCTCCTCAACCTGGCAGAACTAATGAAAGAAACCAAAGGTTGGTTTGTTAGGAAAGCCTTTGAGAAGAGCTTCACCATTCTGTCAATGCCAGCTGACATGGGCCTGACTGACTTGAAAGATTTTAAGGGGAAAGACAACAAAATGTTAAAGAGTCCCATTTTCTACAAGAAACTAGACTAACTGTATCTCAAACTGCTGAGATTCTGCAAGTTGCTTTTAACTCATGAGATCGCAAACAACCTGGAATAGAAAACTAGTGCACAAAGCTGTGCTTTTGTTGAAAATATGGGGCCTTTGTCAATTGTGCCATTACAGAGGGAGAAACATGGACCAAAATTTCTTAGGATTTACCTGTTGCTGCCTCAAATACAAGGCTATAACTAGCAGGGATAAAGATGTGAGCTAGCACTGGCGAGCCCCATACAGAACAGTGGTGAAGCACCACTGTGGTTTAGCTACAGAGAAGAACATTTCAAAAGAGATGCTGTTCTTGGTGGTGCCCAGTAAGTGCTGACACCTGAACATGGATGTTTCCTAATTTGTTTCAGCAGATCACAAATATGTGGAATTTGACTTCCTTATCAATGGGCAGTTCTTGCGAATGCCACTGGTCACGCACATGGAAATGGAAAATATCTCCACAGTAAGTCATACTCAGTTTCTCCCCATCTTGGGCAATAGAACCGACTTGGCCAGTTTACTTCAGTCGGATTTAGGTATTACACTGTCATCCTGACTAGCTAGAGTTCCTTGCTCAGTTTTATTCCTTTTCTGACTTTCCCTGTATTTTTAAATCCATGCTGGAGTGCAAAGTGATTAGAGACTATGAGCAGCATAAGAACATAATCATCCAGTCAGTTGTCTGTATACAGTTCAGAGGGGAAATTCTTGTCTTATTCAGTTCATCACTAATATATCTTTGTCTCCTATTCTGTTACATTGGAGGATAATGAGGGAGGTTATTATTACCTTTAGGAAATATTACAAAATATTTTAGACAGCAGTTTTATGTGGGTAAATACAGAAGAGGAGGAACCCAAGAAATTACTTGCTTTTGCTTCCAGCTTGCTATCAATAGTGGTTTGACAAAAATACTGAAAATAATATAGTTTAGACACTTTTTTTTTTCTGAACAGTGTAACTCCACTCATGAGGCAAAGGACTTGGATACCAAGATCTTTGCCCAATAGGCTTGTATATTTGCACCATGTTAGAGTTAAATATTGCTGCTGTTGCTTAAAAAAAATAAACCCACACTAAATAAGTATGTTTTGTCTGTGAGCACAGGAAGAAGTGGTGGAAATAGAGTATGTGGAGAAATACATGGCCCCTCAGCCAGAGGAATGCATCTTCCACGATGACTGGATCAGTTCAGTTCAAGCCACTGAAGAATGGTACCGCACTTAAGCCCATTCTGAGTTTTGTCTTGCTTACTCCTCTTGTGTGCAGAGGACACCGTGGTGTCAAATGGAGCAGTATTCTGTCTCTTTAATATTCCTTTCTCACCCCCTCTTTGCTCTGTTTTTGTTTTGTTTTAACCTGTGAAGTCAGTCAGCTACTTGCTTTTGTAAGCAGTTCAGTTTTAATGCCTTATGCTGACAGTGACTTTAATACAAGTAGAAAACAGCAAGTCACCGAACGTGAGGTACTACTAATACAAATCCTGTTTACTATTCTTTCACTTGAAAGGACAGCAAGAATTCCTTAGCTTGCTTTCTAGCTTAAACCCTTGACTTCAAATGTGACATTAATTTGTAACAAATACAATAGTGTCCCTTTATGCAGAGCTTTTCTTAAAAAAAAAAAAAACACCAAATCACCATAACTGTCCTTTTTAACTGTATTTTCACATTTATTTTCCAATCAACTAGACAATGTTCCTATATTAAGTAATGGTTTGAAAATGTTTTGATGTCCTCTAGTAACACACCACAAACAACGAACTATCTTTTATTTCAAATTACGTAAGTGATTTTAAGTCTAAGCAGTTATTATGCTATTATTTTTTAAGTTTCTGGTTGAGGGTTTTTTTTGGGGGGTTTGGTTTTGTTTTTGTTTTTCCATAAAAAACATTATTAAAGACAATGTTTCAAATTCTGTAGGATATTAACTGGCTGCTATGATCAGACTGCTCGAATCTGGTCTTTGGAAGGAAAGTCCATCATGACAATAGCTGGGCATACAGAAGTAGTGAAGGATGTGGCATGGGTGAAGCAAGGTCAGTATACAGATCAGGGGAGTAGTAATGGTTTGATTTATTGAGGGAGGAATGTCAGCATTCCTTACCCCTGGATATTTAATTATGTAAATGCTACAATTATTTCTGTGTCTGTCAGTGATGGTAGAAATTAAGTCATAATGTAAAACAGTCCTTTAACAGTAACAAGTACAGTTAGTTTAACATGTACCTTGTCTATCTATCTTGCAGACATCATTAGCAAGTATTGGTATGTACATTTATCTTAATTGTACTTGCAGGGTAACGTGATGTAAAGAGACATGTGCATGAGCTTCTATCTATCTATCTATCTGCTGTTTCTTCTTTGACTAGAATAATTGCATATAAACTATAAAGACTTTGGAGAGCTGAGGTGGGTGTGAGCATGGTGAGCATGGCTTTTTTTTTTTCTTCCTCAGATAGTTTATCATGCCTATTACTCAGTGCTTCTATGGACCAAACTGTGCTGCTGTGGGAGTGGAACGTGGAGAAAAACAAAGTGAAAGCCCTTCATTGCTGCAGGGGACATGCTGGGAGTGTAGACTCTATAGCTGTTGATTGCACGAGAACTAAAGTGAGTGACTCCTGGAGAGAAACCTTTGTCTTCTGGGATATTAACCGCTCGTATCTCAAAACCTCATCTTTTTGTCCCTGCATAGGGACAAAAGTCATCATGTTACTTTTGTACGAGTTGTTATGACTGACGCACCGATTTCTAGTCTTGTTATGAATGGTGGTTATTGAGGATTATGAGTGCTGCATCAATGCTAGGCCTTCTTTTCACTGATGTGCTTAGCCTCCAATATCATGAAAAGCTGAAGGTGAGTGACTTCAGAGAGCACAAGCCATTATACTACTGCTCTTGACTTCTGTGAGTGAATTCAATGTTTAAGTAAATCTTAACACGTGTGAATTTTATGTTATAATGAAGTATTTTCAAATTTGGCCTAAATTTTCACAGTTGGTTTGGTGGGAAAAAACATTCCTAGTCTGGTACTCAGAAAAAGCAGGTGGTAGAAGAGGTTCTTTCCCTTTATCAAGGAATTCAGCAAGTTAAGAGCACACACGCCAGAGGTGGAGTTATCACTCCCAGCTTGACTCACTGTCAGATGGGTTAAAATAAAACCTTTTGGTGCTGAAGGAAATTAAGATTTTTTTTTTTATTATTTTTTTTAAAAACATATTTTTCCTGCAGAGGGGGAAAAAGAATGATTTGATCAATGCCAAACACTTGGGGTTTTTTTGAGGAGCTCTGCACTGTTCTTTATGTGTTATAGCCCATTGGTTAATTTTTGAAGCAGGAAGTGTATTTAGTATGGTTTACAAGGTATGTCTAGGTCAACTTTTAATACATGATTTCTTTCATACAGTTCTGCAGTGGATCCTGGGATAAGATGTTAAAGATCTGGTCTGCAGGTAAGATAAGCATAAGATAGGATTCTTGGCTCTTAAAAAACCCCAAACCTGTACTGAAAACAACCTGAAAGAGAGATATCCATTTACTTCTTTAAGAAAAGTCAAGTCTGTAATATTAAAAGCATGCTAGAACTTTTTTGGTAAGGCTATGTACATCACTATACTAAGTAACTGTTTTGGTGGTAACAGAATTTCAGATATGGTTATCAACTGTGTGCTGATGTTTATTCAGAACAAAGTCCTTTTTCATTTATTTTTAATGGATTTATGTAAATGTGCAGGTTTGAGTATAGATTGCTTACACATCAAAAGTTTGGGTTATCTTCCTGTTTATTATTGACACCATAACATCGAGGACAGTAAGATGACCAGGTCTTTTCTAGAAATGTAGATTAATCCTTTATCCGAATGCTTTCTTTCACTGTTCCAAGTCATATTCTTTCAGTTTCAGAGTGTCTATGTAGGTATTGTATCTAAAAGAAAGCCTGTATTATCACACACCTGACTTACTGGAGTAAGGAGGGCCTTAAAAAATTCATTGCAACTTCATTTTAAAACTGCATGACCTGGAGAGCATCACTTAATTTGTATTCATTTTACTCTCACTGAAAATGGAGATAATACTGACCCGATCAGAGGTGTAAGGTTAAAATACTCATGCATCATAGACAGGTAAACATAGACTGTAAATATGAGGGTTTACTTAGTTACTTACATGGAAATGCAATTCTAAAACCTCTAGATCAAGTCTGACTGTCTTCTGTCATAGTACCTACGGATGAAGAGGATGAAATGGAGGAAGCAGCTAACAGACCACGGAAGAAGCAGAAAACTGAACAGCTGGGGCTAACAAGGGTAGGTTTTGTCCAGAACCTTATTTTAGTGAGGCCACTTAAAGTCATTTCTCTGTTGAAAGTGACTAAAGACTGCTGGTGATATGTCTCGGGCTGATCAAACGCGTATTTCCGTTTGTCAAAAGAACGGATTTTTTAAAGGATATTCAATCTAATCTCCTCTGACCTTTTAATTCCAGACTCCCCTGGCAACTCTCTCAGGCCACACAGAAGCTGTCTCCTCTGTGCTGTGGATAGATGCTGAAGAAATTTGCAGTGCTTCATGGGACCACACCATTAAACTCTGGGACGCTGAGACTGGAGATCTCAAATCAACCCTGGTGAGATCATGATAGTTTATCTGCAGGTTCAGCTGAAGTCCAGCACAAAGAGAGCAGTTGTGCAAAGTAGTAGCTCCTCTCTTAGAGTTACTGTTTTCTTTCCTGACAGACAGGAAACAAAGTGTTTAATTCTGTTTCCTACTCACCCCTGTGTCGACGCCTCGCATCCGGGAGCACTGACAGGCATATTAGACTGTGGGATCCTCGCAGCAAAGGTGAGCTAAAACATGCATCTTCTTAAAGGTGTTTTTTCAAAATCAGAACTTCTCCCTGTCGGGAGACATCTCACAAACTGTCCTCTGGTCCCTCTGCTTGAAACAAGTCATGTGGGGGCTTTGGTTGAATACAAAGTTAACCTCTTATTTTCTGTAACCTGGTGCAAGATGGTGATTTCTCACCTGATAATTTCGAAAACTCAGCTTGGGATATCAGGGTTTTTTTCCTAAATTGGTCAGACCATCATTAAGCTGAAACGGTCACTTTGTTACAATATAGCGGTGCCATGTCTGACAGGACTGCAGGTAACTTATGATTAAGCCTACCAGATATATTTCATAGACACATTTTCTTGTTTAGCTTCTATAAATCTATTAGAGTTTAACAGTATCATCATCTTACATGTTAATAATAAAAGCATTTTTTGTTTTGTTTTTGTTTGGTTTTTTCCCCAAAATTTTTGAAAAGACTCTAGCGACAAGAAAATACACTTTGAGAGTTGTTTGGGTTTGTTGTCCCTGTCCCCTCCCCTGAACTTGTGTGGCTTTTGTTTATGTTTGCTTTCTCTTTGATTTTTGAAGTTAGAATTACTGGTGGGAAAAACTTACCTTGAACACAAATATGTTGCTGACTGCTTTTCTCACTGAAGTTTGATGCATCTTAAAAGTGTTGGTTTCAGCTGGCATCTACTGATAATCTTTTTATCCTTTTTTTTTGTTCAGATGGCTCCTTGGTTCTGCTGTCTCTGACATCTCACACAGGCTGGGTGACATCTGTGAAGTGGTCACCTACCCATGAGCATCAGCTGATCTCTGGTTCTCTGGACAACATTGTGAAGCTCTGGGACACAAGGAGGTAAAATAAACATGTGTTCTTTGCTGTTGAAAGGCATTCAAGTTTACAGGGTCAGTTAATGTAATGAAACAGCAAAAGCGGTCTGATACATTCCTTGGAAACTTCTGTGGCATTTGTGAAAACCCTCTAGGTTTTAGGAGTCAAAAGGGAGAGAAATACCTGTAGTCTACCCAAGGGCCCATGGCTTAACATCTGAGAGGGCTGTATGGGACTTACCTGGCATTAACAGCAACACTGATTGACATGAGGAGGCAGCAACCATAACACTGCTACTAGGATTAGGAACAGCAGATGGTCTGCTAACCATTCCTCTATTTTAAGGAACAAAATACATTCTCTTTCTGAGGAATGTATTTTTGCCTGACAGTGTGAGGTTTCACTTGATACTCTTTTTAGACCTTTCATTACAAACTTCTAAGCAATGAAATAGTTTGCATTCAGAAGACAGAAATGGCTTTTCTGGAAAACACACACAGTCAAACAGCATTCACATGTGGAAGAAGGAAACTATATAATAAACTGTTCCTGACAAGCAGATTGATTAAATTTCAGTGTCAAGTTTGCAAGCAGGTAAAAAATGTTGCTGCTTTTCTCTCTGGGGATGTAGGAGAGGTTAATACTGATCTGATCAGCCCTGAAGAAAGCAGAGAAAGCATCACAGGTGGCAGATAGCTGTACTCTTCAAAAGCGTTTATACCTGCTAGACCACATCTGTTCAATAGTATTTCTTCCAGGGACCAATGTTGTTTTCTGTAATTGCTCATGTAGCTTCAAATGAGTGACTGTAAATACCTGTCTCTTACCAGTTGCAAAGCTCCTCTGTATGACTTGGCTGCTCATGAAGACAAGGTTTTGTGTGTGGACTGGACAGAAGGAGGGGTAAGAATCTGAAGAGCAGATTGCTCACTTTACATGCATGGTGGTTAGGAAGGGGGCTGAAAGTTGTGAACTGTTTTTCCTTTTAAGCTTAAAGATAGAACAGGAAGTGTGAGCTGTGCTGTGGTTGATACTGGGTTGATAACTGGGTGTTACTGTCATACACACTGCAGCACTTCTCCATGCTACTGTGTAAAGGAGGAGGCTGGGAGTTTAAGATCTGTGGGATTAAGTGGGAGTTACACTGAATTCCAAACAAGGAGAGACATGAGAATAGTACCACACCTTGCTGAGAAAATACACGTTCCAAGGTACCGTTTGCTGCCATGGAGACTTAAGACAGAAGCAGGAACTGACAGCTGGGATATGGCAGTGCACATAGAAGGGGGGAAACTATATAGCAAGCTGTTCTGCTACTTATTGTGGTACACACATGTATAAAATGAGACAAAAGCATTTTGTTAATGTTCTAGTTTCTCATTGTGGCTCCTGTGCTCAGTTAAAGCTTTACAAATTTTCCTGCAAAACTTCTAATTTTAGACGGAGATTAAGAGACAAAGTTACTTCTGCACTTTAAATCTGGGTTTTAGTCAGACATTAATAGCTCATTTTCATTATTTCTTTTTGTCTTCAAAGGAAAGAAAACCAGTCCTCAACTTGTGTGTAGGTATTTTGTTTAGTTCTGCTATTAATCACAGTTTTCTCTTCTCCTCATCAGTTACTATTGAGTGGAGGTGCAGACAACAAACTGTATTGCTACAGATACCCAACCACCACCTCTGATGTTGGAGCATGAAGGTCAACAGCCAGAAGACTTAAAAAAAGTTGAAAAGGTTTTGCAGGAGTTGTTCTCTCTGAAGAAAGGAGCTTTTTGTTGCTCAGAGCACTGTTGTTCCTGGTTTTTCTATTGGTAACCTATGTCCATATTTATCACAGAAAAGTGGCCACGAGCAGTTACAAATGTGATTAGCGTGAAACACAGCAAAGAGCGTTTCCTCCCTTTTTGATGGCTATTTGTATAGCCCTTTTAATACAGAGTAAACTGCTCCTGCTACTTACAGAAAAATTACTCACTAGATTAAATTATTTTCTTTTTTTTAGTTTACCTGCTTTCCCCTGGAAAAAAACAATAAAGCTTTTATCTACAGCTCATTCTTAGTGCCTCACTTCAGATAAAAGTCAGCATTAGCTCTCCTTTCACTACAGCTGTTGGCAGTTCTTATGATTAGGTCCTTAATTGACGATCCCAGATTTCTTTCTTGGATGAAAACTTAGTATGTTTGCAGTGCAAATGGTATGACATAAAGGAACTTGACAGGTTTACTGGCAGATGAAATAGTCCTTTTTTGTTGCTCATAAGTTAGGGCTGTACGTTATTTTTTATGTATAGAAACAAATGGAGGATCACCCAGAGAAGGTGGAAGAAAAATTAATTTGTTCCTAGAAAGAATGGATACAAAAAGTTGCAATAGGTTTTAGGTTGATAGAGGGTAAGAACTATCCAGACGTGCTCATTTTCTCTGCTGGTGGGCTTGCTTTTAATTCAGCATTCACATGAAAAAAGCTCTTACTGCAGTTTGTTAGATGCCATATGTGTGATGTTAAACCAGCTTATACATGTGTTTAACAGTGTGGAAGCCAAAGCTTTCAGCAAGTGTAAGACCTGTACAGCACAATCAAGTCAAATGCAATTTGCAGTTAATAATTTTTCTTGGAAGAGTGAAAACTGACCACCATGGACAGGGTTCTGAGTAAGCAGCTGAGGAAATACCAGAACAGCAAACGTATGGAGAACACAGCAAGCATACAGTGGAAGGATCTCTGATCCCTTGGCTCTGCATGTAATGTACTGCAACTAAGAGACTGACTAACTTCATTTACAAATGTTGCTTGCAACGAATTAGTTGTCTTACTACCATTTTATTATCCAGGTGCATGTTCTTAGTATGTGCTTCGTCCTTTCTAAAGCAATAAACACTATTCATACCTTAATATAGAAACTAGTTATTTTGTTTTCTTACTTAAACTTTATTCCTTTAAATTATTGCCTTCTATGGTGTGAATAACTTCGGTTTTGTAAATCTATCAAAAACACAAAGCATTTTTTGAGCACGAATTTAGTATGTGCTAGAACATGCAGCATTCCTTCCTCCCCACCCTTAGAGATTTGAGTAATTTCACATGTTCATTTGTGGATACACCAGTCTGTTCTAGCAATCATTGGCCTAATAGTCATAAAAGTTTAAAAATCTAATAATTTTGTAGTGTGAAAACAGAAGAGACTAAAAGCCTCTTTAGGTAATCCTTAATCTGATATACCTGACATTTGGAGGCCTTAACCGAGTGATGTTTGGAGATATTTTTAGTGGAAAGCAAGGAAGGAAGTTTGGAAACTAGTGTGCTTCATTTCAAAGTTCCCAGTGACCACTTAATGTAAAGTCTTGAGCTATTTTGCCTATTAAACAAAACATCCATTTTATTACAGTTTTTCTTTCAGATACATTATGCTTGAGCATAGCATTTAGAGTTACTGTGGTATTTTACAGTCAGATAGCTGTGAAGCACCTCCAGCCAATTTAGTTACTAAAAGTAAGTGGGTTCTCTTCCATGTATATGCCTAAAGGTAACCTTAATATGGTTTTCTTGCCTTCCCAGAAAGACTTAAAATAGTTCTACAAAAGGTCGTGTCACTTGCACTGTCAGCTTAGCTGAGAAAGATTAGTGGTTTTTAGACCTGCAAAATCCCAGCTGGCATTAATGGTTTAAGTTTTAAACCCTGAATCCCTTAGATCTACTCCACTAGTCACCTGTAGTAACTACACAGAGTGTACGAGAAAGGTTTCGGTAGGCCACAGTTCAGAAGCAGGAGGATTTTTAGATCCTCTCACTCTGGGTTCTCTCATTTGGAAAAGTACTGTGTCAGGCACAGAAAGAAGCAACTAAGTAAACTATACTGACATTATGAAGCAATACCAGCATAAGTACAACACATTTTTGGAGTGCATCCATGTTATCTCTGTCTACAAGTCATCCTAGAACCCACAGGAATACTTTTCAGGTTTGGCTGACTGACAGTTCTTGGGAAAATCTGTAATCTTGATTCAAACATTTTAATAAGAGTATTTGTTTTCCTCCAAACATGCAGTTCTTTCCTTTGAAGTACTGATGTGAAATTAGAATGGCCAGCATGAGTCGATTCTAAAATTGCAAAACAACTGAGTCAAAAGCACACTTAGTCTTCCGGAACCAGGGTGCTGATGGTGGTTCTACTCACACAAATACTTCCTCCCAAAAAACCCCACCACCATTTCTGCATATTCTTAATGCCTTGGTAGCAAAATATAGATCAGTAAAGAACTTAAATGTACTAACGGTTAGTTTTCCTTAAGCATCAAAATGATGCTCCAAGTGAGGGGAACACAATAGTCAGCTACTGCACACTTCTTTGTTGTATCAATGGGGATGGGGGGCAGCTCAGTTTGTTTCTGAGAGGTTGTGCAATACATTGTTCTGTTTCATCTTTTCACTCTGCACTGACACCTGGCATGAACTGTTAGCTTCACTAGCGCACATATGCTGCCTCTGAATATAGTTCAAACAACGTCATGCGTTAAAAGCGTTAAAGACGAGTATTCACCTGCTTGGTCCATAGTTCAGTTTCTCACTTGCGTTTTCTGTTCATGTGTTTGCTTTTCCCCAGCTGGTTCTTTCAGCTTTCTTCTTGCTTTGAGACTTTGGTCTTTGCTTCTGGACGATTGCCATCGCTTTCCTACAGGCAGCCCTGGCAGAGCCCTGATTTTCCTTTCTTGCTGGCATTTTGTTTAGTTTTTTAATCTTTAATTTCCCAGCCTTCTCCCAACTGGGGGATTGAAAACAAGGGGAGGGGGAAGGAAACTGTAAATGTTCCAGCAAAAGTGACACACAACCTAAATCAGCACATACGGGTAACGCCATTGACCGTGCTACCACCCACAAGCTCAGCACCTTTACCATAACCACGCAGACCCCCACCAGGCAAGGTCCTGTCAGGTCACCCACAGCACTGCAGATGGCAGCCTCAGCCCGCATGCTGGGCAAAGCATGTGGTTTTGAGACCCACAAACTCACCTCAGATACTGGCTCCCCAGTTAAATCCTTTGCTGCTGGACCCTCTTGTCTGGGTGTGAGCTGCTGAAGAGTGCACTGTGTGCTCTGGAGTCACAGGCGAGAGGAGAGGACAGGCTGACCAGAGACTGTGGGCTTCTTAGGCTGTATTTTCTATGAGTGTAGGACAAGGATGCACATCTCCAGCCAGCGCTGCTCTGCCTGTTCCTTTCAACATACAGCCCATAGCCTGGTGGTGAGGTTTCTCCTTCATGAAAATAAACTTATACGAAGTTTAAGTGAGTTTTGTATATGTAATCGTGGCAGGCTCTCCTGTCATGCTATCCCCGCTGCACCAACATGTGATAGTTAATGGCTGAGGAAGACCGCTTTTCAGAGAGCAAGATCCTGTTCTGAGGGGCAGAACTATAACCTTACCCTTGACTTCTAGCCTAGCATCCAGGCAAACAGAATGGCTGTTTCACTAGTTTTGCACCAACACCAGTGTAAGCTTCAACTTCCCTGCAGCTGACTCCTGCTTGGCCATCTCGGGTGAGAGAAGCACACAGATACAATGACCTGCACAGGCTACTGCGTTGGATAGGTATACAAGTTATAGTAGCTTATGTTGCAATTCATATGCCAAAAAAGCCCAATTGAGTTAGAATCACCAATCTTTTATTTTTTAACATAAGCACATTGGCAGAGATCTCAAATTAGGGGCAAAACTTGGGTTAAAATTAATTGTCATGAAAACCAATGCAAATTGACCTCTAAATTGCATGAAATGAGCGGCTTTTCAGCTGCCACTGAGGAGATGGCTGAGCCTGGTCTAGAAAAGACAGCTGCTCAGTCTGGATGAGTCTACCAAACCATCCAAATCAAGATATATTCTGTGCGGAATGCTGAAAATATAACTCAAACCACAAAAATGTCAATTCTGTATCAGTTACAATATTCATATTCAAAACTTCTAAATGTCAGCTTTGCATATCTCTGCAATTTATTCCATTGGGCAATTAGTAGCCTGTGATCAACAGGGGGTCTTAATGTGAATTTTAAAATCTGTAAAACTAAGCAAACATCAAAATAAACACTTTGTTATTGCACTGAGACTTTCAGCTTCTAGGTTAAGCAAATAAATGTCTTTAAATGTTTGAAACCATCTCTGAATGCAAATCAGAATGCACAAAAAGCTGTATGGAGAAATACTCTATAGCAAAATACCTCAATGACCTAGATTGCTTATTCAAAAGGGTCCCCCCCCATCACACTTTCTATTGTCTATGGTCTATAGAGAAAGGAAGTTCTGATCTTTAGTCAGACCATAGCTGCTGTAAACTGCATGTGAAGGATGGCTGAGGTCACTTGGAAGAGCATTCAGGAAATGCTCACTGCCTTAACAGCTCTCCTTTAATTCTCTCTCTACCCCAGCTGTTGATAAACATTCGAGTTTGTTACACACACACACAAGACATGTCAGAACACTGGCCAGTGGTCAACAAAATAAAGGAGAAACACTGGAAATTGAAACAAGCCCACCAAAGAATGAAGATGAATGTGTGGTAACATCTGATGCAGAGCTGGGTGCTGATTAGAGATAAACCTAAGGATCATAAGCAGTGTCAGCATAAATTGATACATAGAATACAAATATATGGAAGTGACATCATTTTTCCTGCCACTAACAAATACTACTTACTTTCAACAGGGCAGTCTCAGTCATTTGTATCATCTGAGAAAGCCAAAAAATGGCATCCAGAGGTTTAGCATTGGAATTACATTATTGCTTTCTGAAGCTATTCAGCAAGGAGGAAGACTTCCTTGAATTATTCTCCACTCTACATGGTGTCATCACCATGTCAGTGCACACATCCCTGCATACAC